TGCCCATCTTCGATCCAATGCTAGAGATACCTAACTACTCTGAGAGGTATGTCTGATATGTATGAAAGAGTTATATTCAAAACATGACCTAAATACTTATTTACCCTTGTTGACATTAGAAATCAGCTAATTTACAATTTCCTTTAACTATGGTGGGCGTCTACAAACATTTTCTATCTTAAATTTTAGAACAAGCAAGTAACAGAAAAGTACAAGTGCTGAATTATAGATCTTGGAAGAAAATCAGCCAATTTATATATCATCTTGATTTTAGGGGGAGGTCATTCAAGGCACATGTACTTTTGTAAGAGTCTACGGGACATGGAATGCTAACAATCTTCATTGTCAGGGAACTTCCTGAACTTGTGTCTGACTGTCTCAGGCCTCACTTTTAGCTCATTTCCTCTTATTGAACAGAGGCAGGACAGCTGGCCAGCATCTAGCATCTGCACCGTCCTCAGTCTTCCCTGAGTTACGGATCACACTTCTGAAATGGGAGAAGGCCACTTTGAAACAAAAGTAAAAACTCTCCAAAAATAGAAATCGTGTGGGAAATAACATTTTGAACTGAACTTGGAATGGGCCTAGAGATTAGGTCATGGGATGGGCCAAAATACTGAGGTGCCGTCCCTTGAACAATTCAGATTCATTCTTAGATAGTATTACAGGGTCATACAACACCAGGCTTGGAAATTAAAGATGTTTATGTCTCATCAGAAAGTCTTCGAATGTAACTCTCTGGCATACTGCCAAAAAGGGCAGCTCTTTGGGGGAAAACCCTGCGCCAAAGGCCAAAGAGGCAGCTGTGTTATTCAGCTCCTGAGAGCTTCCGACTCAACACCCACACCAGCTCAATTAGGAGGAAATTAAAGGGATCCAGACTGAACATAGTAATTCGGGTAATTTAAATAAATAGAGGAAAGTCTACAATTAGGAGGAAAAGATTGATTTTCTGGAAAACCCAGAAAACGACACCCTAACCCCTTTGAATAAGCATAGTTCCATCCAATTATTTAAAAATAAATTTCCTTTTATTCATCATTTTAATCATTCTGATCTGACTTAAACATGGCCACATGCATGCCCACGAAAGTATTTCCCAAAATACTGAGGCAGAATAGCCTCAAAAACAATCTGTAATGGCTATATAGGACTTAATGACATGGAGTAGAATTGTAATCAAAGTTTTATACCTACATTTTAGAGCACATATAATGTACTATTCGAGTCTACCTTTTTTAACACAGAGAAAAACTGAAAGTAATTCCGAAAGAACAGAGATTGAATATTGGGGAATCTATTAATATTATTCACTATGTTAATAGAATAAAGAACAAAATATACATGGTCTTTCTGTATAGATCATTAAAAATCACTTAATAAAATAAACATCTACTACGGATTAAACAAAATGAGCAAATAAACTTTTTAAGAAGCTAGGAATATAAGGAAATTTATTTAACTTGATAAAAACATTTCTTCTATCAGGAAGCATCAGAGTAGTCATAATTAATGGGCACATGCATATAGTACGCACATACACAGTGGAAGCATTCTTGTTTAATTTTTTAGTTCATTTTGATAAGCTGATCTAAATAAAGTTCACGTGGGAGAATATATATGAGGAGCCAAACTGATTTTATCAAAGAAGAAAAATCAGAGGACCTTTTTCCTAGTAAATTATCAAAATACAATGAAATTGCGTAACACAGACAAGGTGACACTGGCAAGGAATAGTCAAATGTGTCAATAGAACATGTCTAGAAACTGACCCATGCATGTAAGGAAACTTAGTATTTAATGTTATTGCATTCTGAATTAATGGGGAAAGGATGGAATAGTCAATAAATGTTATTGATAATTTGCCCATTATCACGAATAAACATTTTTCCGCCTCATTCACTGTGGATAATAAATTACAGACTGGTAAACATTAAAAAAATCCTTTAGGGCACCTGGGTGACTCAGTCAGTTAAGTGTGTCCAGCTCTTGATTTTGGCTCAGTTCATGATCTCATACTTCATGAGTTTGAGCCCTGCGTCAGGCTCTGTGCTGACAGTGTGGAGCCTGCTTGGGATTCTCTCTCTCCCTATCTCTCTACCCCTCCCCTACTCACTCTATCTCTTTCTCTCAAACTAAATAAACAAAAATAAAATGATTTAAAGGAAATAGAAGAAAATAATATGGCAAGTATAAAGCCTAAAAGTCATCAAGATGGAAATTTTTTACTATGAGACTAAAATCTTTTTTATAGTAAAGGATATAACAATCAAACTAAGAAGACAAATAATGGATGCAAGAAATTATCTGCCATATACATAACAACATTCTAAATATAAAAAAATAAGAAACTGAAACATTTTTGGCAAAGGATAGAAACAGGTAAATCATAGAATGAAAGACAAAAGGACCCTCCAAAAAAGACACCCCAAAAAATTCCCCTTTCTCTCAATCCCAAATTCAGTCAAAAAGGGAAAAGTAAATTGTCAACCCAGATGCACTGATAAGACACTATACAACTATCATAAAGAAATGTAATATGTGATATACATACACGGACAGTACAGCAAATAGAGTGCTATGTATACAGAGCAAAATATTTTTAAATCATGTTTGTATCTGGGGGTAAGGTGGCTTTTTTCTCACAAGAGTTGTCTATTTTTAGAAACGTAAGTGAAATCAAGTAAATGGAACTCAGCTTTAAAGTAACTTGAACATAATACGCAAGTTAAAATACTAGGTTAGGCTCAACGGCAAGAATGAAATAAAAACAAAGAAGGTACTAATGGGGACTGTCAGCCTTCAAAGATTCCTGCAGATTCTGTCAAGGAGAACTATCCAACATAAACTACAGGATAAATAAAAGGTTTTCTCTTTTTAATTTTGTACCATATGAAACTGCTATTTTTCCAGGTCCAAAATAGCCAAATAACATTAATTTGAGATTCAGCCTTAAAACTTTGGATTGAGTGTTTGATTATTTATTTTTTACTTTGAAGATTGGATCTTGATCCTGCGAGCCTATAAGCATAGCCACCAACTTTTTTAGTAAATTTATTAATCCCTTACATTGACCCAGTGCTATTTATAGAAAACTAAACAATATTCTTTTCACCTAATCAAACAGGAAAGACACTTCCAAATGTTTACCATTCCGATATCATCTGAGTTTATTCACTAAGAAAACCAACACATCTACTGAGCTCATTCAATTGTTCTGGGGAGAGGGGTCCAGAATGTCTCTAGAATGTTGACCCTTGGGGCCCTCTGCAAGACTCTAAGCTTTAATTTGGTGTTTCCTGGAAGACACCAAGCTTTGATGGTATATAGAATGTTTCTTTAACCATATTTTACCGCTTCTGCTGTATGGTGCATTTAACGCCAATGCTTTGGCACTTATGTCCTGAATAAAAGAGCTCATGACCTCTGTCCAATTATGTAAATTGAGCAAACCTTACTATTGTCATTTATGGTATTATTACAATACAATGCGAAGAGTGACTGCTGGCTTTACATATTTTCCAAGGGCTATTTCAATTTAAAAAAGAAAACTTCTTACAAAGTTTTCAGTAATAAAAAATATAAACAGAAATAATGTTTCTGGATATGCTTTAGATTTTATTCTTATAGATTTGACAACATTTTTTCTTTCTTAAAATCGGTGTTTTTTTTTTCTTTTGCAGAGATTTTTTTTTTTTTTTTTGGAACTGTATTACTGGTCACTTTTTGTATTAATTAAATGGAGAAAACAGTAATATATTCTTGCCCCAAATTAAAAGAAGTTTTTATCCATTCATTTTCCTCATGAAGAAATTAGAAAGACAGGATAAAAAATGCTTATCAAGCACTTTGTAAAAATCAAGTGTTCCTCAAATTACTAGTAATAACCTTGGTCACTGTCACAGATGACCGAAGGAGTAATCAAAGGTTTACACACAAGAAAATCCCCTTTCCGATCAGTGCTCAGGCTTTCTATGACTCTCTCACTACAGGTGATTAGAGCAAATGTATCCCAGCGATCTAGTTAATGTATAGAAAATAGAATCAATTTCCCTTGTTTCATCCTGACCCCGCTTTTTCTGAACTTATCTAAATAACAGATAAGCACTATTTATCAGATTGTTTGGTGGAGCGCACAGTTTTGACAATTCTATATTCTTATTGCAGTAATGAAATATGTAATACACCTCAAGAAAAAAAAAAAAAAACATTTGCAAAGCACGGCCTGCGAGCACCCAGCAGCAATGATTATTTGCTGAAGACTGATTTTGCACCGGCACCCTTCTCTCATAATCCACTCTCTCTAAAAGCCCACGAGGGCACAGCAATATTCTTGGGTGTCTGAGATGTCGTCTGGAGTCCCACATCCTAGGACCTGGAGAACAGTTTGCAGGGGCCCTCGGTCTGCCCTAGCAGCCAACAGTCACCCAGAAATTCCCTGCAGAGCTCAGAACCTCAATGAGGGAGTTCAGGCATGGACCCAGGGCACCTTGACACCCTCGATCTGGCAAACCCTGGGATTCTTTTTCTCTCCAGTGTTAACAGGATCTGGAGATGGACATTTAAAGACCTAAGCCTTCCCATTGCTGCTACGCCTAGTGATTGCACAGAGATGGGAAATCACACTCTCTTCCCAGACCCTGCAACAGGCATGCGCGTGAGAAATGCAAAGACTCTGGCAGAGGTGAGAGTACACATACAAAGCAGGTGACTTAACTGATGCTTATGGCATTCAGATCATCCAGAAGGAATAATCCTATTGTTCTGACCTACATGAACACTTTATAAAAATATCATTTCTCTCTCTTTTAAAATGGGGGTAATTACAATTAAACGTGTGAGACGAGACAGGACAATGGGATGAGCGCTACCCCCTCCTCCAGGCTTCTGCACACTTTTGCCCCCTAAGGTTGGAGCTGAAATAACAAAAGGAGGAAGTTGGGGAAGACAGATGGGCTGGGGCTGGAGTGCTGACCTGTGTGTCACTCACCCTCACTTACCAAGGTCCATGCTCTTTGAGGCTTTCAGATTCATTGATTCAGGCTGCCTGGCCGGTGTCACAGATCTGAAGTGGGTGTGCTGATCTGGAAAATACACTGTCGAATCCACCCCAGAGCTATGGAAAGAAGCCACATGCCAAATTTAGATTTAGAGCAAAAAGAAATTTCTTTTTCTTTTGGTACAGGAAGCAGTTCTCATTTTGAGCACGGCCCCTCCTCCTTCCCTCTATAGTTCCCAACCATGTATTTCCAACCAATTCTTGAATTTCAGGTTGCTTTCATGAGATGAAGCAACTCTATTTTTATGTATTTTATCACACGCTACAATTTAAATAAAATATTCTCTGGCTAATATCATGTTTTCCTCTTCATTGATTTCTGCTAATTGGGATCCTGCTGTACAATATATAACCTTAAGTGGGAAAGGCGAGCCTGGAATGAGCTGGCACTTCAAAGGAGGTCACTGGATATTAGCAGAGCCCACGAGCAGGTTAAGAGATTTCTGTGGACTAAGGATGCCCTTGCTTTAGAGCCAAGTGAAAGGGTTGTACTCTTTAGAGAAACCATCCTGCTGAATGGTTTGGTGTTCTACTTTATTTAGGTCTATTTCCTAAAACCAATGTTCAATACTGAGCAAATAGTCTGCTCATCGATAAAACAAAAAGGAAACGATAGAAAAGCCGGGTTGACAATTTGACACACGATACATTAAATGCCTATTATAGGCTTCATAGTACTCCTAGTCAATCTCAAATAATTCTATGTATGCTAAATAGTTTATTTATTTTGCTTGAAGTTGGAGGGGATTATATAAGGGAATTACAGACAATGCCTTATTTCTTGGTCTAGAAAAGAAATCATATTTAGACATTTTACAAATTAAATTACAGCTGCCTTCTCCCTTGGTATTATCATATATTTAGAAAGTTAATATGGTGGCTCATTTCAACATAGCTTTACTCTAATTTTAAATACAGTGAAACCCAAATCAATTATGTGATAAATCTGAAAGTACTGAGTGAAGTTGCGGTTTTCAGACAGTTGGGATTTGACACCTTATGTAAAGAATAAAACAACAATAAAAAATGAACTATTACGAATGAGAATCGGAAAATGTACAGGGGACCTCAATTTCTTAACCAAATATACCAAAATAAGTTTAATCTTTTCCTGAAACTCATTAGTTATGCACATTCAATATTGCCTTGCAGGAATATGAAAATTAAAATGCAGCCATAATGATACTGCTGAGTGAATGAATGAGCCTCCATTATTGTAATATACGGGGGTGGCTTAAGGAAGTACCTATGACAGGCCACAGACCACGGAGCTCAAGACCACCGATGCCAGAGCTGGTCTGCTTAGTTTTAGATCCTGGCTCTGCTCCTGACAAGCTGTGGGACCTGGACACATAATGGAACCTCTCTGTGCTTCAATCTCCTTAGGTATCAAATGGGTATAATTACAATCCCTGCCTCATGGGGTTATTCAGACATAAAATAAATTTAGAAAGTAAAAATAAAGCGATTTGTAAAGTAAGGAGAACAGATTGGCACAGAGTAAGTATCACAGAAGCATTTAAGAAACAAATAACTAGGTAAACAAATAGACCACTTTTGCTGCCCAAATGATCGTCAATATTTGCTTTTCGAGTTATCTGTAGCATTTTTCCAGTTTCTTTTTCTGTTTTTGTTAGAGTCTGTTTTTGTTATATCAATACATAGTTTCATGAAAATGTCTCAAGAAATTCAAATCTACTCTGTATAATTATAAAGCTTTGTTTGTTTTTGGCTGCTTCTTTGGTGTCTGGCTATATTTTCAATACCATTGACATATATAAAGTATATCAGATATGGTAGGCAGTGACAACAAAATATACCAGTTGTGGGCAAAAATCCTTGAACCTCCCATGCTGCTGACACTGGCCTGGTGTTTAAGCCCATTTTAAAGAAGAATTCTGAGAGGCTTCTATGAACATGAGCTCACACCGCCCCCCCCCCGCCCCCAGCCTTGATGTTCCGGAAGCACTTGTCTTTAAATGTGTTTATGCGACCTTTATTTGCACTTAGTTTTTCATCCTTTGATGTCTTGTGATGATGTGGTTTTAGTGTCAGAAAGACTCATGGCCTTCATAGAATCTGAGAATTTAAGGGCCAGAAGGCATTAAAGGTCACCTCTTCTAACTCTTGTAGATAAGACACCGAGGCCCAAAGAGGAGGCTGATGTTCCAAGGTCACACAGCTGGCCAGTGCCAAAGCGAGCACCAGAACTGTGTTTCTCAATACTGTCTTTCTCAGAGCCACAAAAGCTTTGGCTAAAATGGTGGCCAACCTGGGGCCCAAGTGCAGCTGAGGCTGACACTGTGGAAATCAAAATGTTCCTTTTTTGTGCAGATTCACTCACCCTCTTATGCTGCTTACATTTTAGGTCAGCTCTTTGTTTCAGTAGAGTGATACATACCATGAAGTACAAGGAAATCAAAGAGTTAACCCAAACAGATGCCCTAGGTTGCAATGAAAGCCATTAGGGAGGTGGTTCAGAACCAACATGAATATTCCTCATTAAAACTTAGGTCACACTGCATTTAAAATGCTCTGCTCAAGGGAGACAATGGGAACCTACCCAGGCAAATAACACACTGGTTAACCTGTTTTACTGTCTTACTTTACTGAACTAGGTATTAATTGACTTATTAAACATAAGAATTCACATTTTTTGAGACTCTTGGGAAACAATTATACCCATCCCCATTTAAAAAAGCAAGGTGGGAATGCCACTCGATGCGGCAACATCAGGTAAGGATCTAACTAAAGTGAATTTTTTGGTACAAATATTTAGATATAATGAAAGCTGATCAAAGAAATAAAGAGCTACTTTCAAAAAATGAATGCAACAAATGGTCACATGTGTATATGTATACACACTACATGTACCTCAATATACCCATTAAATTGATCATAGTGATTCTTACATCTGTTGTCACTGCTTTGAATGGGACCAAGTGTACATTTTGGAACCTTCAATAGAAGGGCCCATTTTGCCATGAAACGAAATAAGAAATAAGGCAAAATAAATCTGATATTTAAGCAAAAGAGTAAGTGTAATATGAGAAATTGCAGGAGTAGAGCCAATGCGAGCATAGAGCGCACATAAATAATGCAGTGTAGTATTGAATTAATTAATGTGAAAATATTTTGGACATGTAAGTGAGACCAGTGAAACCGTTTATAATTTTATGTTACATATTGAAAGTTTTTGGAGGGAAGGGGTAACACAGCGATTAACTATAAAATATGACATCTTTTAATTTTGAAGAAAGGTAGCATGTGCTCATGGCTGAGTGGCTGTGGTGGAGGCTGTGGGAAGCTCCGCAAGATGACAGCAGGCCAAAGACATGTTTTAAATAAAGGCCATGTTTTCAGCATGAACAACCAGGGAATCTATCAAACAGAAATGATACTCAATGTCAAATTATTCTGCCTAATGAATAAATAAAGGTAGCATGAAACATATGCTGGTGTCCTGAATATGGTGACAAATCGGGAATGTAAAAGACATATAAGACCCAGCCATGAATGTTCAAGGAGAACTGTCAGAAATAAAAAGGAAGGGGAAGAAAATATTGAGAGGTATGGGGAAAAAATTCTGAAGTCTCGGGTGTCCATGAATAGGCTTCAACAACTGGCTACTATGAGTGAGAGTAGAGGAAGGAAGGAAGGAAGGAAGGAAGGAAGGAAGGAAGGAAGGAAGGAAGGAAGGAAGGAAGGAAGGAAAACAGAGAGGGAAGGGAGAGACAGAGATGGAGAACCAAGAGAGAATGGAGGGAGAAAAAATATAAACATGTAGGGAATAATCAAATGTTGTCAAAACTGTTAATAAAATTCAATATGATCTGTTATTAATTTGCCTTAAACCCTCCCTGAGATATCACAGCACAAAATATACTTCCTTTACATTTATTTTTTTATTTAGACACACATATTCTACAGTTTTGTCCAATAACTGATGACATAATACTACAAGTTCAGTAAATTTCTGATGTCACTTTGATTCAAGACACAGGCATGAAGTCGGATCACATTTGTGCCTCACTTCTCTGCAATAGTCGCGTTCTGTTTCACAAGACTGGCTGCATCCCGAAAGCACCACTTTTCCCTTTTAGAGGGCTTTTAACTTTTTTTTTGAACACCAGGGCAGCCTCCCTTGCTCAACCCTCCTGGCTCCCTTCCAACCTTTCCTTCCATCCCGAGTTCCACACATCCAAAACCCCCTGCTGCTCCCGGTCACCTAGGCAACACAGCAGCTTGCAGGATGGTGCAGGTCACGAGATCCCGGGGGAAGAGTTTCAAAGCTTTACCTTTGTTCTTTCCATCTCAAAACTGTCTTTGGCTCTGCCCCTTCCTCTCCAGCCATGCTGCTCCTCTCTTCATTCAAGCCCTCTCTTCTCTTGCCAGTCCCCAGGATCCTCTTTTATGGCTTTCCCATCCACAACTGAACTCACTCAACTTGATATTGTCACCACCCCTCCCCCATCCCCAACAGAAGAAATCTGTGGAGACACTGAGGCAGCCAAAAAGGGAGCTCTCAATTCCCAATAATTCCATCTCTGCAATATCTCCGATGCCCTCTCTCACCTGAAGTGGGTTCTAATCTGAAAGCTTCTCCCTCCCCTCCCCAGAACTGTTCCTTGGTACCTTTCACTGCTACTGCCCTAGAAAACGTGCAGAGTCTGTGGTTTCCAGTGGATATTAACCTTTCTCCATTTACCTAATGCACGTTGTACACAGCTAAGACCCAGGTCTTACCATGCTGTCTGCTGAAACCTTGCAATAAGGTTTTAGTATCTAATGAACGTTATCTGCATTCCTTATCCCTACACTCTGGGCTCTATCATCTGGCCAGTCAGCCACTACACAAGATGCACAAACCAACTTATTTTCCCAGTTTCCATGCTGTTCCTTTTACCCTTTCTTCTCTCTCAAATTCCCCTCCTTCCTGGGCTTTTCTCCTGCCCGCCTCCAATTCATAGTTTAGAATTTAGCTGAAATGCCACTTTCTCCATAACATTTTCCCCTGATTCCTCTGTCTGGAAGCATTCTCTTCTGACTTGGATGTCCAGAGCATTTTATTCCTTCTGGTAAATGTCACTTTGTACCTTGTGCACTAGCTGTCATTTTTACCTACTGGCCTACCATCTTCTTGAGGGTAGAGTTTATATCTGAAACGTCTTTACATTATCCCAACAGTTTTTCACAAATACACAGCATAAATAGTAAAACAGAATGAAAGAAATTATTTTTCTAAGTATTTTTTAATGACAGCAAACTGTCATTTTTGATTCAGGATTGAGGAAGGCAATGGAGATGAATGAACACAATTAAGTAGGTCCAGATTTTCTTTCAAGAAACCCCTAGAAAACTGATCTAGAACATTACTATAATTATCAGTCCAGTTGGTGAAATTGTGTTTGAGAAAGATAGCTGACTTTAGAAACGTAAGAATCAGAGATGGCTAAATATAGGTAAGCTTCCAGGTAATAGAGTTAGCTATACTCTGTGTTGCTTTATTTTTAGCAGATCGTAATAAAAAGCATAATAGGAATGACAACAGCATTGCTGCAAGAAAAATGAAAAAATTTCACAGGATTATCAAGGGACATAGAATGGAATAAAATACACAGTTTTTAACAGCCATAATAAATACAGAAAATAGCAAAGGGACAAGTTAATGATTTTTGAAACTCATCAGAAGAACAAAATCTATGAATTCCACTAGTGAGATGGTGTGTATACTTAGTAAATCTTTCTCTCTCATGCTTGTGAGATCCCAAAAATTATTGATTTTTTTGGTTTCTATTACAGAGTGGATAGAATATTGGGTACTCTTTTCAATATTTTAGATTATATATGGTGTTACTTTAATTTTTAGATTCCATTAACTTAGAACATTTATTTTTAAAATACCTTTAGGGTTTGCCAATTACAAATGAAGGAAAAAAACAACAAAAACTAAGCTTTATGTCATTTCAGTTTGGTTTTATACCTTCTCATATAACCTTTTGAGCTCTCTGGTTTTTCAACATGATGAAAGAAAGTTCTGTAATTTCCTTAAATATTTTATAATATATGATGAATTTTAAATTCCAGGAAGCAAAATATGAACACTCTAAGCTATTAATTTCAGCTATGAGAAGCTTTCACTGAAAAGGAATTATAGATGCTATGAGATTTCCATTCTGGAAAGAAATAGACTTAAAATAAGGTGGCTGGATCTTCCCAGAAACACCGTAATGAGGAACATTTACGATACATCATTTTATCAATACCTGTGGCTGTACTCTTCAGTGCCCAATTCCAGAATGGGATGTGGTGGTGGAGAAGGCGGTACTTCATCCTCGGCCCATCCGTCACTGGGAAGCAAGAGCTCTAAAAAACAATGAACCGATGAAGCTGTAAACTCGAGGCAGAACTGTTCAGTGCCTGGTTTTGTTTCAGTCCATCTCACAGATGCAATTTTTGCCAACACATAAACCAATCTTGAAATAAATAAGTCCTCCTACAGAAGCGAAGGATTTGTATGAGAGCTCATGCAGCCTGTGTGAGGAAATCTAAGCTTGCTAATGGGTTTTCACACTGGTGACCTGCTGGCAACCCATGGCAAGTCAAGACTGTGCATCTTGAATATCTTTTCCCACCTAGAAAAGGCTGACAGTCGCTCATGACTTGTGTTCTGTGGAAGATTAACAAAGCCATCTCTTTCATGCCTTAAGGGTTTTGTAAACAAGACTCTCTAGTGAATGAATACTCTGGACCTTATGGAGATTTAGGTATTGGCCTTAGTGACAAAAAGTACTTAAAAAAAAAAAAACACATGAGATACCATATATCTACTCACCATTTAGAGATGGTAGAGGGGGAAAAAATCTTTTTGTATCTATGCCACAATGGAAATATGTGGCTTTGAGGCCTTGGAAGCAAAAGGCTAGGGTCAGACCTGGTTTTCTCCCCTACTCAAGATGTATACTTTTCCAAGCTATTCTACCCTGGAAAATTTAGACCTGTATTCTAAATATTACTACAGCTAATAACAAGCAAGTTTGTTGGGACCCTACTATATACAAGACATCTTGCTACGTATTATGCTCATTATATCATTTAACACTATCACTATTACCAACATCAGCTCATGTGTGAAATCATGATACAGCATCCTGGGCAAGCAAAAAAAAAAAAAATCTGTGTGGCGAGGCCATCATATTTCCAGTCATGGCTCCCACTAGTGCATGAACTTGGCCCAACAACTCAACTTTTCTAAGCTCCAGTTTTTTAAATCTATAAAGTGGGGATAAGAATAGCTTCATTAGAGGAGTATAAGGATTGTAGAAAATGGTGCATATTCAAACAATTTATAAATGCAAAGTGCTAATAAGCAACAAAAAGATTAATATTCTATATATCCTAAACTCTACTACATATCCATAACGGTAAGAGATTTGGTAAAAGGCAGATCCTATTTGTCCTTGATTGCTGGAACAAGAGAAAAGTGTCTCTATCCCTAAAGGCTGCTGGTAACAGAACCTGCCTGACTTGCGCACATGCCAGATGTGATGGTCACTTTCATCTGTTAACTTGACTGGTGACTGGGTCCAGGGTATCCAGATATCTAGTCATACTTTATTCTGGGTGTTTCTGGGAGGGTGAGATTAACATTTAAATGAGTAGGCAAAGTAAAGGTCCCCCCTAATGTGGTTGAAACTCATCTAATCAGCTGAAGGTCTGGATAGAACCAAAATTCTGACTATCCTCCTCTGAGGAGAGAATTCTTCCCGCCTGACTCTTTTCAAACTGAGACACTGGCATTTTCCTGCCCTTGGACTCAAAATGAATTACTGACTCTTCCTGGGTCTTGAGTCTGCTGGCTTTTAGACCGGGACTCTGCTATTGTCCTTCCTTGGTCTCCAGGTTGCTCTTTTACCTTGCAAATATTGGGGCTTGCCTGGCTCCATAGTCATGTGAGCCAACCCTTTATAATCTATCTCATTATAATAGTTATTATGTTATTATGTATATTATATGTTATATGCATTACTGCATATCACTAAATGTTCTATATGTTTTTACATTATATTATTTATTATATTCTCTATTTGTATACAAGCATATACATCTCATTGGTTCTGTTTCTAAGGAGAACCTGCTCCAAACTCTGCCCCAGGGACTAGTATCAAATGGAGGTAATTCTAGTAGTGCTGACACGTGCCTGGCTAGGAGGCTTGAAGCAGGAGATCTGATAGGCAGGGTGACAAAACTACAGAAGCGTGGTGAGCAAAGGCAGCCAGCGCTGTCTCCCTGCACTGCTCCCCACCCAAGTGATCTAATGATTGGTAATGTGGCGGCCGCCAGGCAGCCAGAGGCTTACTGACAGGAAGAGAACAGAAGGAATACACTGTAAACTGGGGACAAGGGACACATTGGGACGGCATCTTCCACTGGCTGTAATCTCTCTACCCTCCACTTCTTGGCTCATCTTTCACATGGGTGATAAATATTGCTGTGATCATGGAACTTGGCCTCTCGGAAACCTCTCAGTGGCACACAGTAGCCTAGAGAAGGTCTGTGCTGTCCACGGGCAGCTTCATCTCCTATTACACATTAGCTACCCAAGACTACTTACTGTTCCCCAACCACAAGCCCGGGCTTTCCTGTCTCAGTGTGTTTGCCTACGTAATTAAAAATCCACTCCCATCCATCAAAGTCCCACCCTTCTCTCAAGGTCCACCTCAAATCTCATCACCTCTATGAAACTTTTACTGTTTCCGTGGGATCTGTCAGTACTTTTAGAACAATGACAGAGTATACTCGTGCTCACATCTGTGTGCACATGCAGCCCTCACTTCTTTCTTCCTGTTCAGGCAGACCTCATCTCCCAGCTTCTTTGTACCTAGACTAATTCTTTTGGATAGAATGTACATTTTTCTGGTCATTGTCATCCCCAGTCTCAACGGTTAAGAAAGGTTGCACTCCCTCCACCTTTCCCATCTACCAACTGCAAGAAGGAGTGGCTGAGGCCCTAGAAGATGGCCCAGCTGCCAACGGAAGGAGCCCAGGACCTTCAGTCCCTGCACAGAGCCTGGCCTCCATCCTTCTGCCTCACTGGGCTATGATAAGACAAGAAAAAATACTTCCACTGCCTTCATCCATTGACAATGGGTTTATCTATTACTATTACAGAAATAATTCCACTGATAACATTTATCACATGCTGATTTTGCAATGAGCTATCCGTCTATCACCTATGTATCTATTTCTCTTACTGGACCATAGAGAAACTCCTCCTTGCCCTCCTCCTCTCCCTCCTTTTCTTCAGCATTTTCTCTGGCTTCTTCAAGTTTTATTACAATCATTACCTTTAATTTTTATCTTATCCACATGAACAATCTATGTTTTTAAAGTAGTGGGGCTCCTGGGTGGCTCAGGCTGTTAAGCATCCAAACTTCGGCTCAGGTCATGATCTCACAGTTCGTGGGCTCGAGCCCCATGTTGGGCTCTGTGCTGACAGCTCAGAGCCTGGAGCCTGCTTCGGATTCTGTATCTCCCTGTCTCTCTGCCCTTTCCCTGCTCATGCTCTGTCTCTTTCTCTCTCTCAAAAATAAATAAACATCAAAAAAATTAAAAATAAATAAATAAAGTAGCTGTAGGTAGAGAGGTAAATATCTTCTTTGTTGACCCTTTATTTTTGGTACATTTTTAAATATATTCAGATGCCATAAGGAATTTTTTTTCCCTCTTGGCCCAAACACCTCTATTAACCCTATAGCAATGTGAAAATATGGATTTATTCTTTCCAAAAAAATATTTCTGGGTTTCTTCACATGTACAAGTTTAAGTCTTGATGGTCATCCTATCTTTATGGCTGTGAATGTTGCCACTGCACCCTCTAGTAACTACTCCGTTTATGACCCAATGACCCTGGTTTTAATCATCATTTTTCATAGTTGTTACTTGTTTTACAGATTGTACCCTGCTAGGGCCAAATCAGAAAAGAAGAGTAAAAGAGATTGCAACTTTAGACAAGGGCTCAGCAAGCTATGGCCCAAAACATGCCCACCATCTGGGTTTGAACATAAAGTCTTATTGAACAGTCGTGCTCATTCATCTGTGTACTGTCCATGGCTGCCTTTGCACTACAGTGGCAGAGCTGAAGAGCTGAAACAGAGACCTCTTGGCCTGAAAAGCCTAACATGTTTACTATCGGGTCCTTTAAAGTTTGATGATCCCTGCTTTAGATTTCTTTATAATTAAAAAAAATTTGAAAGCCTATTCTTGAGGCCTATAACAGCACTGTATTCACCTTTGCATCCCAGATAGTATGTCCTGCACAATGGAGGTATCCAATACACAACAGGAAAATTGAAAAGTATAATTCAATTTCTAATCATCACTCCAGAGGTAGTGCCTTATGTACTATAGAGGGCTGGGCACATGCTGGTTCCCCAAAGATGGCACATTAGGAATAATTATACATTATTTGTCTCTTTAAAGGACCTTAGGTAACATGGGCCCAGTGAGACAGGATATAGAATCAAAGGGGTTGGTTTGAGGTGGGGATGGAAGGTCTATGGGAGCCTCCACTGGGTCCTGGGCAGACCTGGGGCAGTGGGTGACTCACGTATGGGACTGGAGTGCACTTGAGCTTAAAGGTGAGGGGAAGCAGGAGTAGGGCACAACAGGGGAGACCAGAGCAAGGGAAAGAGAGGTAATAGCAAACCCGAGGCAAATGGTGCTCATTACTACTACTTGACTATTCCTTGGCCAGGGTGAGATCTGCAGGCAAAATGCTTCAGAAAATACAACGTTGGTAGTTCATGTTAACATCATTCAAATGCTTAATACAATTTTATAGTAAACCCCTGGGACAGAGCCCCATCCCAATTCCCATCTTGGAGCACCACACTTATTCTAGTGCAGGCATTGCTAGCAATTCTCGAACACAAATGTGAATTTTCCGGTGTTACAATTTCTACAAATGTTAGTTCTAAAAATGCCTTTTCCATGTAACAGCTTGACAGGAATATGTATATATATAAAAAAATAACCATGGAACTGTGGGTGGTATGTACTATTATTACAAAAATAGATGGAACACAGCATATCAACATTGCGTTTTTTAAATATACAAAGGAAAGGGAAAAGAGAAGAAAAAAGTTAATGTTTTGGCTGTAACAGTTCCTTTCCTCACTAGACATTACATTTTGTCAACTCAATCTTGTTTTTCTAAAGCGGCTCCTTAAAACACTTGGTAGGGTTGAGTCAACACTCACTCAGGTTTCATGAGCCTAGTAGCTCATGAGTAAGCTCATGAGCTTAGTAGCCTACTGCTACCTCACAGGCATCTGAAACTCAGAAACTCTCAGTGGTTCTCAAAATTTTAATTTTTTCCATATTGAAAAGAGATGATGATCATGATATTATTCTATAGCATGTTTATAAATTCTAGTGTGTGTATATACGTATACACATATGTATATACACACACGTATACATATGTGTATATACACATATATGTATATACATATGTGTATATACACACATATATGTATATACACACTATATACATATATATTTATGTAGACCAATAGGTCTACATAAAAATAGGAGAACTTCCTTTACTGGCCTCTTACAATTAAAATTTAATGAGTCTATGCCTTGATGGGCCTAGTTCTTTAACTGAGTGTTGCATAACAGACGCACAAGGAAATAACAACAATCGCTTTTTCCTGCTTAAAATAATAATATTAAATATTAAATATATAAATATTAAAATTAAATATTAAAAAAATAAATATTAAATGCTTAAAAATAATATTAAATAATATTAAATAATATTAAAAAATAATATTCTTTCACTTCTTGAAAGAACTGGATTTTTCTGTCATCTTGGAAAACAGACATGGAGGAAGGAAGCAAAGCAGGGACCCTGTAGGTGGCTGACCTGTGCGGTTTCCACTGGTGTAGAAAGGTGTTCTACCTGGAAGCATGTGTCAAAAGAAGAGAACAGGGACTCCCAGTAATAGTCTATGGCCACATGTACCCAAAGGACTCTAATGTTCAGTGGAAATACAAACTCTAAACAGTCTATTGAAGTTTCATAGTATGCAACTTTATTTTTAGGAAGTTCTTTGACTAGATTTTATTATTTAATTCCCTCCTCCTCCCCCCTGGGGGCACCTGGGTGGTTTAGTCAGTAAAGCATCCAATTTCAGCTCAGGTCATGATCTCATGATTCGTGAGTTCGAGCCTTTTATCGGGCTCTGTGCTGACAGCTCAGAGCCTGAAGCCTGCTTCAGATTCTATGTCCCTTCTCTCTCTGCCCCTCCCCTGCTCGCTCTCTCTCTCTTCGTGTCAAAAATAAACATAAAGAAAATTTAAAAAAAATATTTTTTTTCTGGGTGTATCCTTACACTTAACTAGTTCTATAGTTTCATTATTTTGGCCTTTGCTACCCCTTCTAGGGGTACTATCCCATTTCCCCGGGTATCTTGATGTCCTCTGAAAATACTCTGTGTAATTATCACTTCAGCATCAATATTTTATAGCTATTAAAAATGAGGGGTGCCTGGCTGTCTTAGTTGGTGGATCATAAGACTCTTGTTCTTGAGGTTGTGGGTTCAAACCCTGTGCTGGGTGTACAGATTTATATATATATATATATATATATAAAAGAAATGATGGGAGATTATGTGCCAATATTCCTTTGGATGTCACTGGTATAATTAAGAATAAAACTCTGAACTTGGATTGCCATTTATCACATATTGCTTGAGAATTAAATGCCAATCAAATTATGTAAAGGGTAGATATTTTAATACAGATGTTAATGTTTTTGATCATTATATGGGCATGGTAGAGAGAAAGCTATGCTAGTCTGTGTCAAACTTGCCATTCCTTCTCCAGATTCTTCTGCTACTGTGATTTAAGGTTTCAGGAAGAGATCTCACCATGTCAAGACAAATTTTAATTTCTTAAGAGGAGAAAAGACATACTGAGTATTTCTTTATCTGATACAAAGCCAAGTGAGCTTTTAATGGACATTCTTGGTATCAGGTGAAAAGACTTCAACAATTTCAAGAGACCAATGTAAGACAGGGTCCATGTTGGGGTTTAGGGAATGAACTTGAATTAGAGAGATAAGGGCTGAATCCAGGATCTGCATGAATTGAGTATGTAGTCTTGGCTAAATTGTCTACTCTCTTTCTATTTCTTCATCTGTAAAGTGAGAATAATTGTAATAATAGTATTACCCACTTGCAGTGTGCATGTAAATTGCTTAACACTGAATCCAACAGACAGTAAACACTTAATAAGTGGTCACAGCTGTTGCTGCTACTCTCACTAAAATGGAGGAAGTCAGAGGAAAAACCAAAGTCTTATTCTGATTAAACAATTCTAGAGGAATCTGAGATGTACATGCTTGTTCTGATGGAGTTCTCAGAGTTCAGAAACTGTTCTCATGTAGTTAATTCTGGGTGACATCTTAGATGTAAACAAGGGATCGAATACATAAACAGTACCTCCATTCTAAAGGTTACTGTAAAACCACTGAACATGACGCTGTAAACTATTCAACAACAGAGCGAGATGATCATAATATGTTATTAATAAAAAGAACAATTTCCTAAACATTATATATATTTCATTTTAATTTAATTTTATATATCCATATTTTCATGAAGAATTGAAATATAGATGCAAAAATGTTATCGATTAGTATCTCTGATAGAAGTATAAGTAGTATTAAATTTCCTTTTAATTGCCTTTCCCTAAATTTTCGGTAATGAGTATGTATTGCCTTTGCTATACAAAAAACTTAATATTATTAAAAAGAAAGGAGATGCAGGGAAATTAAATTTTCTTTTTCTTGGTGACTGAAGTACAATTTTTTAAAAACAAAGAAAAGCCCAGGGACACCTGGGTGGCTCAGTAGGCTAAGAGTCTGACTCTTAATTTCAGCTCAGGTCATGTTCTCACTGTTGTGAGATCGAGCCCTGAGATGGGGCTCTGTGATGGGTGTGGAGCCTACTTAAGATTCTTTTTCTCTCTCTGCCCTTACCCCACTCCTATGCGTGCGTGTGTGTGTGTGTGTGTATGTGTGTGTGCAGGCGGACACACACATTCTCTCGTCTCTCTCAAACTAAAAATAAACAAATTCCAATGTTTTATATCTAGAGGTCTACAACATCGTAAGGGAAAGATAACGTAGCGAGGGAAAAATAAGAACATTCCAACTGTTACAAAATGGTCTTGGTTATGGTATTTACCACACTCTTTCTAGAATCAAATATAAATCTGTGAATCATGTGGTGACCATTTTATGGTTTAATACTAGTCCATGCATTTTTTTAAGTTCAGTAGTTATTTATATTAGGTAACTTCTTATATCAAAAGATTGTTGAAAAAAAATTAACACTTTGCCATTTTTTTTCTCCAGGCATGGTTTGTTTTATACATAATCCTCCCTGTTTGGGGCAGCAAGCACAGAAACTGTCACTTAGACTGGAGGCAATGCCAGGAATCTGCTTCACAACTTGTGAGTCAGCTCTCCCACCCATCATATCTTGGTGTTCATGACTCAGGGTAACAAAGTCTGCACTTAGTCTAATTAACTCCTCTTTGTCCCTTTTTTTTAATAAAAAAGATAGTCTGTGTTTTCTCACACCATTCACGGCACATGGAAATGGAAAGACCCTTACCTTTCTGTTTGTCTTGTGAACTGTAAGTGCCAAATGGATGTAGTGAACTATTATCATTTCTCCTGGAGGTGGTTATAGTGTTTTGACAATTCTCAAAGCATGGCTTAGAAAATGCCCCACACTCAGCAGGCTCCTAAGGGATGAAAACAAAAATTACATTTGCCTTTTAAAGATGTTCTAACTTGGTCAATGAAAGAGAAGTAGGGCAATAATCAATTTATGTACAATCCTCCAAAAATCTACTGCATAGAAATTCTGGACTGAAAAATCAAAATGGCCCTATCAGTTAATAAAACATCTTTGAATATGAAATAAAAAAATATACTGACAATGTGGTGCTAAGGATTAGGAGTACTCACAGCCAACACAACAGAGGATTAACTTTATTATTCTTTCCCCCCACTTACAACTGGCTTCTTTCAAATTTTCTTCCATCTGGGAGTACAGCTCGTGGCAGTGTCAATACAACAATATCGTCATGCCAAGGGCGTTTTTCTGCCAACCAGCTGGTTCCTCCCTCTCTCCCTCAGTGACTAAGTGCATATGCTCTAGGACAAGTCAGAACCTAAGCAGGTTTGCCACTGAAATGCCATGAGTGTGTCCCACTGCAGACACTAGGTCTTTTGGCCAGAAGCTAAAACAAACCCTGTGACAATGCCAGACAGCGGTTCTCCTGAGCTTCCCCTCTCCCCCGTCCCTCGCCTCTTTTTGATATTTTTCCCTCCTCTTTTGATTTTGAAAGCCTGCAAACAAATTCAGTGTCTTTAAAATGGCCAGAGTAACACCCCCACAAAAGCCATGTGACACAGGTGTGAAGAGGTGGTAGAAAGGGGCCAGGTGTAAAGAGCTGTTTGTTCAAGAGGACTGAGGCACAGAGAATGCGGTTCTGCTCTTGCTCGTATATGTGCCTTCCTAACACAAGGAAGTCATGTGAAAGCCATCTCACGGTTGTGCCCTTGACCGTCTGTGAAGTGGACTTGCCCAAACAGAAACACAGATCTGATCCCCCACTCCTATCCCCTCCCCCCCCAGCCCTTTCCTTCTGAGCAAAGCATCTGGCCCAAGCAATTTGATGATGCTTTCCTCTCAGTTACAAAAACTCGGTATCCTAAACAAAATATTTAAAATATTCAGTTTATGCATTCTTAATAATTAAAATGTTTTTAGCTGCTGAAGCTCTGTTAGCTTTTTGTCAAGGCTCATAACATTTTCCCTACATCCAGGGTTACCCTCTGCTTCTGTATTGCTAGTAAACCAAAACTCAGCACAGTCTTCCTAAATTAAAGCTGGAGCTTGGGCAGGTAGGAGGATTAGGGTTTACTTCACACAGCCTTGTGCTTTAACAACAACAAGAACAACAACAACAAAAATTCTGCTTCCCCAGCTCTTTGATAAATGACACAATCGATATCCCAACAACTGATCAGTAACCAGCCTAATTAAAGTATTCAGCTTGTAAAATAGAGCTGTCGTAGAGCCTTCCATTAGTGTCCCAGCCAATAAAAAATATAATGGATTTTTAAACATATTCTCCTTCTACCAAGATGAGCTTGTAGCAGGGAGAGAAATGTTTTGGGGAAGAGGAAAAAAAAAACAACGGTCATAACCCATTTTTTAATACCAAGTCTCTAGGCTCAAATAGAATTACAATTGAACCTCAAGCTCATCCTTTGAAAAAGATGTTTCTGTTTCAAATGATTTTGATTCAATCAAGGACTCATTATGTATTCTTCACGAGGTCCTCATCAAAACTGTTTACGTATCTTGTGCATCTGGGTAATGTGGGAAAATACTCCAACAACTATATATTTTGACTTTTCTTAAGTAGCTTCTTCATTTTTTTTTATATCAATATAATGTTCAAGTAACCATTTTGGTAATTTTGCCAAATCTAACTAATTGACTTGCCTGCATGTATGAGTGGTGCTGAGACCTTTTTCTAGGTTACAATAGTTTTTACTGTACCTGAGGGTGACTGCTGCTGCACAGGAGAGGACACCAAAAAGATGAGTGCACAACATATGTTGTGACACAGTAAAACACGGAACTGGGAGATCAAATAGTGGCAGACTTTTTTTTTTTTTTCCAATTTAATAAATATTAGTTGTACATTAGAGGATCCTGTCTTTATAAGAAAAATGCTCTTCAATCTTCATGGGTACCACAGAGATTCCCAGAGAGCTGAGAGAATCAAGTGCCTGTATGTTCCTCCATGGAAAGCACATAAATATGAGGGAAACTAAAAAGGGCGCTTGTTGAAATGTCCTCATAAAAATTGCTTTTTGTCCCATTTCTTAATTCCCAATTAATTTCCTAGTGAACTTATTAATAAGATGCTTCTGAGGATGGGCAGCAAACTAAAAGTTCAGTTCTTTCTTCTGACAAAATAATTGTCAACCTATCCCAGAATATGAGAATTAACATGGATATACCTGCCGTAAAGGACAATGCAAATGCTAAAGCATCTCAATTAGATGAGCCAAAATACAAAATGCTTACCCAGTAGGCATACACTTGTTTTAGGGAAAGACATGGAATCAGGGAAGGAGAGACGTTGGGGACACAACTCCTAACAACCGTATTCATTTTTTCTTTCTTTTCTTTTTTACTTAACTTTTGCTATTTGCACAGGTATGATACTCTACAGTAGCACCTCCCAGACTTTTCTCTTAGTTGAAATATCTTTGTTCCAAGAAATCTTAAGGGAGACATAATACACAGATACACAGAAGGGGTAGCTTAGGGGCCCACAGACCACCCTTCAGACCTGTCCCCAACAACTGGGTACCATGAACCCCAAGGCTCTAGAGTAAGAATCAAATTAAACCAGAAAGGAGCCAATTCCATCATGGATGGAAGCAATAGATAAGGGTTTTATAACTATGTACATAAGTAAAATCCATTAAATATTCATGGAAGCCTCTGTCACTTAAGCAGACACAAATGTTGAAAACGAGTTGGCTCATTATATATAGTCTCCAGTAATTGGCCAATTTACATTTATTTAACATTTACAAGGTTATGTACAGAAGAGTAAAAAGGTACAGTTACTCTCTTCTGATAGCTGATAATATAACAAAGTGAGATATAGTTTACAAGTTTACTACTTCAGCTGACCCCCTCAAATAAAGTAGGTCTCAGATGCATCTTTTATTCATTCATTCAACAATATTTATTAAGTGTCTACTGTGTGCTGGGAAATGAGGATACATTAAGGGATAAAACAGACAACAGTATCTGTCATCTGTAAGTACTCAGCACTCAACTATGCATGTCTTCACAGCACCAGAAAATGGACAATCTGGGATTTTTACTTAAGTCCTCCACAACTTTAGAGCCTAAGCTTTTAACTGCTATGAGCTTCAACTACCTTCCCCCATTGCTTAATTTGAAAAATCCTTTCTTTTTTTAAGTTGAACTTATTATTAACACTAATATTTTAAATTAGTGCATTAATAGTATTCTATGTTAACTTTGTGTATTACTGCATTACATAAATATTACTTGTCCTCAGAGAATATTTGTGTGATTTGCTTATGGTTTTCTTAACTCTTAATTATGATCAACTGTTTTCTCCTTATCTTTTCTTAAAATATATTTCAGGAGTATTTAATAATTATTTTTAATAGATTAGAGAAAAATGTTTTAGGAATATTTTATATTTATTATAAATATACTAACATAATTGTATAATTTAATAATTATATAATACATATATAATTGTATATCAGTGAAATGTTTAGGGATATTGGCATTCAAGAATATTTTATGGTTACACTTCATGTCTAGGTAAACATATTTTATATTAAAAATCCATAGAAAATATTGCAAAAATACGTATTTAATTAAAAACATTTATTTAATACCATGAAGCAAGCAGCTTGCTCAATAGATCAAGTTTTAAACTAGTTAAGTCTCAGGTCTAAATTATCCTTATGCACATTATGGGGGCAAATATACAGAGCTGACTGCATTATAACGATCTTCATATTAAGCACTATATACATCTGATCAAGAACTTTCTAAAGTATGGACATTATTAGCACATCAATCAAAAAGTATATAAAGATGTTATATAGTTTAATAGTTTATAATATGAATAAAGCCTTATTTATAAAGTCCAAAACTCTAGAAATTTCTGGGGGGGGGGGGACTAGAAAATATGGATCTGTTACATTTGATAAATTACTTACCTTAAATTACTTAAATTTCTATACCTTCTAGTTATATCTGTAATATACAACCACCCATAAATCTATCAGAGCCCTTCGGGGACAGTTTTTCCCAATTTCAGAAACACTATGATACTAGTGATGGAAGTTTGCATATCCTAGAGGCCATTTGGGCAATCTTTAGAGGGAACTAAAGATATGAATCACCTCCATTGGTCTCGCTGGCCTCCGCAGAATCACTAACTGGATCATCCCTCGAATGTTTCCCTCCATGGACATTGATCGCCTCAGTGTCTCCATAGCTTCGTGATTGGACTTTCCCAAAAGAGATTCCCCATTTACAGCAATCAGCTGGTCATTCATCCGCAGACGACCATCCTAGGACAGAGGAAAGAAATACAGTGTTAGAGAAAAGTATGCTGATGATGTATGGCTGTTTCAGGAAAAGTTCAAGTTTAAAAAGAAAAAAAAAAAAAAGAAAAAAAACCCAGCCATTAGGAATGATTTATTTTCTATGGCAGAAAAAGGTTCTGGAGCTTATCAAAAAGTCACGAATACCAACAATAATGAACTGTGTGAAAGTGTTTTTTAGAAATCTCAGAGTCCCAAGCTGCAATAATTTAGATATTTGTATAATGTCTGTTACCTAAATCTTTGGCAAGCATGCTAACCTAGCCCAATTCTGCCATTTTCTCTGGCAGGGACCCTATTGGCTCAAGGAAAGGGGGTTCGGAAACAGAAGGAAGTGGTCACATCACTAGAAACAAGGGTTGCATTTTCAGGCACAGAGAGACATCATGCTAAAATGTTATGTGTTTGACAGCCATAATGCATCTCCTAGATATTACTGCTAACTCTGTTGAATGGTGCTGGGGAAAAAAAATAAATAAAAGCTCATGTTATTGTCTCTAACACAACCAAAAAGTTGCTAGTCTGCAGAAGAACACAGAGATGTGCAGTGAAGGGCTGATTTGCTATGATGTCTTCTGGCAGAAAAGCACAACAAAGGAGACTGTCAAGTTTTTTGCATGCAGGCTCTGAATGATTAGTACTTTCACCCAGTATCTTCAGGAAACCATATTCTGTAAAGTGCACAGAGCCTCAACATGTGGATAGGCAGCCCATACTGTAGTCTACATCACTTCTAAGTACTAGTCATCTTCAGCCAGAAGCATCTCACAAGCTAGGGATGCCAATGGTAGCTAGCAAACTGGCTGGCTGCTCTGCAGACGAAAGAACTTGAGGGGACCACAGCGCATCTCCCCAGTAGGCAGACTCAGTGGAAAAATGTTTAAAATACAGTCAGTTTAGGGACATGCCTTATACCTCTCACATTAGGGTAGAAAGTTCTTGCTACGAGGCACAGATGCAGTTTTAGTAATGTTATGATGCTGTTGTTGCTAATAAACTTGACAGAAGTACCAGTAGGTACAATTGTCCTTCCTGGAGAATTTTTCCATAAATTAGCTCTAGAACTCAAAGAACTCAAGAAGTAGATCAACGTTTTTATTCACATTTTTCAGATAAGGAAACTGAAGCAGGGAAGGGCTGCAACTTGCCCAAATCACAAAAGCAAGTCAGAGGCAAAGTGACCCAGATGCAGGTATCAGGCACTTTGGCTCTTCGGTCTCTCTACTCGACTCCTCTTTGTTATTTGGTCTCTAGACAATAGCTGTATGGCACGAAAGTATGAAAGGAAAATACTAAAGAATTTTGTTTGTAGTAAGTATCTGGGATCCATGTTCAAATTTAACAGAATAAAATACAAAAAACAAAACTTCCTTAAGAAATGAGAAAAACAGACATACAATGAACAATAGGACCAACTGTGCAGCTTTGGGAGAGAAATCCTGTGGACAAGTAGATAAACTCTGACTAACTCAGTAGCAGATGGTCAGAGGAAGTCCTTCTGAAGACAGTGGGGGTAAAGGGTGAACGAGGAAGGCTGCTCTGGATAGCTAATGCCCTGGAGGAGATGCACTGTGCGTGTGCCTGCTGGAGAGGACGCTGGCTGCCCAGGATCGTGAAGGCCACCCAAAGGAGCATATGCTCCTGAATGAAGAAACGGAGATGGTGGGGAAACGGGATCGATTGAGGGCACACAATCAGAGCTGTACACTGTCTGAGTGAAGTGCCTCCACAGAGCGTAATGTCTCCTCCCTTCCTCTTGTTTTCCCACTCCACTTAACCTTTACCCTAATTTGGAGTGAATCTGGAAATGAGATTTACAGGAAAGGCCAAACAAGAAAGAAATCTCTTCATTTCTATTATCTAATTTTGAGTGAGGCGCATAAAGAATGAGGTTAAGGTTACACGAAACAGGGTAAAACAAAAACAACTGTAATGGTTTAGTCATGTGAAGCGAGACATAACATAAGGAATCCTTCTATCCTATTCTGGCATTTAGTGGAAGGAGGGCTATTGGGTTGAATCTCAAGAAGGAGGTTGAAAGGGTCACTAAAAATTGGATGAATGATTTTTGAAAAGGAGGAGGAAACAGAAGAATCAGACCAAGATTCCGGCTCTGTCAACAGGAAATGAGCTCTACTAGGTGTTGGATTTGTAGAGGCTTAGTCTTGGCAGGACACTTCGTCCTCTATGATGTGAAGAAAGATAAAGACTGAAACTTTATGGGTATCTCTAGAATGGAGGAAATAAAATCTGAGTGAGATTCCACCTGGTAACTTCCTATGAACCTTGTCTGTGAAGTATGAAGCAAGGTCTGAGTGAAGAGATAAACAGAGAAGGAGATGTGAAGATGTAAGGCCTTTTTTCCTTCTTTCCTTTCTCTCTCTCTCTGTCTCTCTCTCTCTTCCTTCCTTCCTTCCTTCCTTTCCTTCCTTCCTTCCTTCCTTCCTTCCGTCTCTCTCTCTCTCTCTCTGTAAAGTGATCTCATACTAACAGATACTAAGCACAAACTTTCATTTTCAGCTACATTCCAAGTCTCAAATACACAGAAGTAGAACATGTTTGCTATATTCAGTCCAAAACAAAAACGCAGGTCAGGTCACCGCAGGGCAGCTGGGATGTTTTTTACAAGACATCCACATTTATCACAAGCATCACTGGAGAGCTATGGGCATGATACAAATCCACACACTCTCAGGCTTGGTTGGGTCTGTTGCTCTTGGTGCGTGCTTTCTCACTCTAAGATGAAATGGTAGGTAATTTCATTAATGGCGATGCCAGTAAGTGCCATGTTGTCCTAACATTTAGAATATAATCTCAGAGTTTAGAGCTGGAAAGGTCCTTAGAGGTCATCTTGTCCAACCTCTTCTGTTTATGGATAAATAAGGTGATGCCCAAAGACGATGAGAAACCATTTATTGAACTCCTCTTAAGAGAAGGACTTCTCCGTGGGTTAGGGCTTGTTTGGCTAGTTTGGGTCAGAGCTAGACCAGAATAACTCAAGTCCTGGTTTGTCAGCATTCTTAATTTCCTAACCGTCCTCTCTGCTACATAGGTGACAATGACTGGTTCCAAGAAGAAAAACAAAAAAACCTTCAAAACCAGAGAGGACAATATGCCACCAGATGTCTTCCAGAGGAGAATCCTGTACGAAATCCAGAGTCAGATGGCAGATGTGGAGACTGGTGAGTGTGTGCCGGGTGATGGCAGGATAGGGATGCAAAGTAGAAGTAGGAGGCAAAAATTTGCTCACATCTCTACCTCTATAAACATACATGCATCCCATGTCTGGTCTTGATCTAAAATGAAAGTGATTCATTGGAAAGCTCCTTACATATCTCTAACTCGAACTCATTAAATATCCTTCACAATTGTGTATGACTTTGTGTATGCTTTGGAATAGTTTTGACCAAGAAAAGTACTTTTCTAAGGTTTTATCTTTTTCTATTAATATTGTATTTAAGTAAATACTTAGACACTAGAATGCTAACTCTCATCAACTGCTTTTTTATAGAAGTGAATTCAACTATCCAGGGATATGACTCAGTAATTTTAGAAAATTTATTTCACTGTAATCTGGATCATGCTTGTATTCATTAAAGAAAAAAATCCCTTTCTGCTATCAACCTAATGTTTGTATCCCTTGTCCCCCACCTCTCTTCCAAACACAATATGAGGTTTTTAGGATGAAACCCTTCCGAATGGGATTGGTGCCCATATGAAGCAGGCCTGAGAGGGAACCCTCACCCCCTCTGCTGTGTGTGGGGACAGCAGGCAAACAGCCATCTATCAACTTGAAGTGGGCTCTCACCAGATACTGAATCTGCTGCCATCTTGATCTTAGACTTCAGTCTCCAGAATGGGAGAAATAATTCTTTCTCAGTAAGCCACCCAGTCTGTGGTAGTCTGCTAAAGCAGCGCAAACAGACTAAGATACTTCCCTTCCTGTTTTACTCCCATAAGACCCCTAACTAACAGGACTCCTCACCTGGCAACTATACTCTTCACCTCTGCCCAACCCCCATAACCAACTCTACCTATCCTCAAGCCAGGAGGGAGTAAAGGAAATTCCCAAAAGAGGAAAATAAAAAAAAAAAAAAAAAAGAGGAGGGAGAAGAGAGTCAAGATAAAATGTAACTTCCTTAGGATACTTTTAGGACAAATAAGAACTGGTACAAGATTAGGTCTTGTCCATGTCCCGAGATTGCTTCAGATCTCACCAGCCCTAACTTGGTTCAAATGCGATAGGATGAGTGGACCAGGAGATAAGATGTTTGAGTATGGCATCCCCGTTTTAGAGAACACCTAATATAGGCGAGTCCTTTTGCAAATATTTTATACATGCTCTCATTTTTTTTTTTTGTCACAACAACTTCGTGGTAGAAATACTACTTTTTACTATTTAAGAGATACAGAAATGGAGGCTCAAATATAATAAGTGATTTGTCAAAGGTTATTGGCATGGCTAGGTCTCCTCAGGCATGTACCTGTTATGGTATGTTGTTCTAAAATCAGAGTTCTAGAGATGATTAGAGACACTACAGTTATTAATGACAATAATAATTTAATGAGCTTCTTTGTGTAGTCATTGTGCTAAACCCATCATCCACACTAGACAATTTGATCCTTACAACAATACTATACAGTGGGGACTGTTGCCCTCATTTTATTAAAAAAAAAAAAAAAAGAAAGAAAGAAAGAAAGAAAGAAACCAAGAATTAGGTCAGTTAAATGCATTGTTGCCAGTCACATTTCTAAAGCAGATTTGAACTAGGACTGGGTCACTCTGAAGGCCACATTTCCAACTATTTTGCTCCACAGCTGTATATTTAGAGCAGATAATTCTTTGTAACGTGGGCAGTTGGGTACTTTGTAGTATGTTTCATGTGCCCACTGAAGTGTATCCATAATTTCCAGGGGGTCTAGAGACCTTGTATTTCAGCATCTGTTGTACTGCGGTGCCTGGGTAC